TATGCGTCTGCTACAGGCAAGTATAATAATGAGTAATGGAATGCATATCATTAAACACGATTATAAATAATTGTTTAAAACATCATGTACATCAATATGCAGTTTCACTTATGGAATACTGAAAATGGATAAAAATCAGGATGCACGGAGTATATATCTGAACCTCCAAAGCCTAGCAACAGAGTAAAAACACAAGCTACCGGAAACATAATTGCTTCTCCTCTAACGCACATCTTTGAACTGGACCAGGTACTTGTGCTTAAAATCTGTCTTTGAATACTTGACCAAAGAATCGCCGAGGACAAGACCTCTTGGAGGAGGATTTGGACACCCTGGCCCAGGCGAGATCCTAAATGGTAAGGTAAACAACAAAATAAGAATTCATCCAACAGCAGCAAAAGTAACCTCCCAAAACAACTTACATGGAATGAAAATTACATTAGGTCACATCCAATTATAAAGTAACATTGATCCTGTAACTACAAAATACCATTCCGTTTCAACTTAGCTCAGATCATAGAACATGTAAGAGCATATAAAAAAATCAATCCGGCCTAAAAGATTTGAGGCATCTCATTTTCAAATGTCTGACGGTGAATCATTATATTAAAGGAGAAATACCAGTAAACAAACATTGAAAAAAAATTCTTCCAAAATTAGGCCTACCCATTTAACAACAGGATCATGGTATTCAGTATTATGTTTATGTTGGACCTAGGGCTTTTCAAATGTGTTCCAACATCAAGCGTTTTGGCCTAAACGCTCCTACGTGGCGTTTCAGATTTCCATACAAAGACAACACTATATTTTCCATGCAGAGGTAAAGTAGCCATCAGAATTCCATAAAACATCTTGAGAGTCTAATTCAGTGAAAATATTGAAACGTTTTAATATTCAGAGGTACTTAGGATTTTTCAGACTAGCCTAGGCCTAATCCCGAATTCCCATTGAAAGGCATGACGGGGTTTATTCCCAGACTGGGGGCCAGGGGCAAATTTCATAGAGCTGCTTAAGCACAGAATTTGCTTAAGCACAAAAAAGAACTTGCTTAATAAACAAAGGTTACCAGCTCAAAATATGTGATCGTCATGCTAACCAAAAGACAGGTGAATTCCATTCCAAAACAACTTTACATCACATGGGATTTTGGCTGGTAACGTGATTTGTCAAGCAACGTTTTTCACGCTTTAAGCAAATTTTGTGCCTGAGCAGCTCTATGAAATTGGCCCCAGTACAGAGGGAGTCCAGTACACTGGCCCCCGGTCTGGGGCTAGAGAGGGTGTCAAGTGATGTCCGTACTCGTACGCTTGGAACTCTTTGCTTTTGTGCATAGACATGTGTACCCAAATGGGCCTACTTCCATTAAATCTCGTGAAAGTCTCCATTTTTCAATTAGCGATTTGGGCCAAAAATCTGAACGGCTCCTGCACGATTTTTACACGTAAATGAAGCATTCACTATCTTCCACCTCGTGAAACGTGATTTATTTAGGCCTTTAAGATCGAATGTACACGTAAATTAAACCAGCCCTCGGCTTTGGTTCTGAAAACTTTGGTTTTTGTTTGAAGCTCTGTAACAATGCAACAACACTACCCAAAGTAGTCACATTTGGTATCAAAATGAAGGGCACGATATCAACTTTTGACCTACCTCGCCATGTTGACCGAACCAGTGCTTCGTCTGGGTATTTTTTTAGTCTCGAATGCAGTCTCGCAAAACCTCGCACAAACCGCGGCGCGTTTGCGTGCGTGACCCCGGACACTAGAAACTGAGGTCAAACGGGGCTCTGCGCGTGACATGGCAACTGACTGGCCCGAACTCGACCGTGGTGTCTGATTTGATATTCAAGGGTTTGCATAAACGTGAAGATGAAGGCATATTTTGGTAATTTTTAGTCTATTTTCTTTTTAGTTTTGGGGCTCAGGCAACTTGGCTACTTTACTACTAGGGCGACCGATTTGGATCTGTTCTCTCGGGGGTGGTCGAACATTATTGTCAGTGGTGGATTGAAGCACTAAAATGTTATGTTCCCAACTGTTAACTACATGTGAAAGTACATGCATGTTTTATGAGGTTAATGGGATCAGTAACATCACGTTTAGTTTTTATTCTTGTTTTCGGATCCTTCTCCATCGTGATTTCGTTTTTCTTGAAAAACGAAATACACCTGACCCTTGTGAAAGCAGTCTACGACATAAGTTCTGATCCCAAGGTGTGTGTGCAAGGATGGCATCACAATGACGTCATCACCTGATTTTTAATGAACTTTAAAGTTTTTCTTAGAGTGACCTGTCTTTTTTACTCGATCTCGCGAGCAAGATAACGCATTTGGGAAATTTGCTTTGTGAGAAAGTTCAAGTAATTCTACATGTGTATATTTATGTATGGTGTGACGTCATGATAATGCCGATGGAAAGCAGTTTTTCCATTTTTCCAAGGACAACACTTGATTATGACTGAAAGTCCTGTATTGGTACCAAAGACCCTCAGAATGTAGAAAAATGACGTCATAATGACGCCCTCGTACAATTTAATATTTAGTTTTGAATATTAACTGTTTCCGTCATGACACTTTCTCTGCAACTGAAGTTACAGTTTAGGTCAAGGTGTATACTCCTTTAATCTAAAGTCGGTGATGTCACCAAGCCAATATCGCCGCCTTTGACTGAAGCAAACACGAATCTCTAATGTTGTATCCATAGCTGGAAGTCTTAGTGATGGATAGAGGGACATCCTTGCATTTGCCTTTTTGTCTAAATTCTTTATTGTGTTGCCCTGTACTTTGTGTATCTTTTGTTTACTATTGGTCACAATTGTAAAATGGCTCCTTCACATAGAATTACCCAAAACAAAACCATAGTTACTGCCCGGTAGTAAAATTATAATTAAGAGTTTGCTCGAAAAAGGTAGATGAGTTTTGCGTGAACCTCAACCTCGGTTTATGCGTACATTTATCAAAAAGTATATGGTTATAATGCCTGAGCACTCTCTTCAAACGAGCTCAAGTTTTCCACTTTGTCTTTTTCGTTTTCAGAGACTGCACCTTTTGACTATTCTTGCTATTGTCCTGTTTGGAGTGGACATTTTAATTAGGCTTCGGGTGATGGAAAGGACGATACCTACTTTCACAAACCACCGAAGGGCACTTCCAAAACATTTCTTTACGAACAAAAGGAACACCCGCTCCGGGTCGAGTGTCTTACCGCTGGCGGCAAATGATACGGTCACAAAGTTTGATAGAATGCCCGATCTGAAGACCAAGGAGCCGTGCAGTTATAATATCCAAGTCTACGACCGAAAGGGCATTTTGCTGAAGGAGCGATACGAAACCTTCAGTAGCATAGCGCCAACGTTAAAAGGTCGTGAAAAAATCCCAGCTGTCGTTCAGTGCGGCAGGAACTGTACCATTACAATAACTATTGCTGACGAGAAAAATAAATTTGCAGGAATGGACGCTGTGCTCTTTCATTTCTGTATGAGACTAGTTCCACTTAAGGCTCTTCCTGTTGACATGAACCCCAATCAGACTTGGGTCTTTTGCTCTTGGGAAACGCCGTATATAAGTACTACACCAGAGGTTCAAAGGTTGTACAAAATACCCAAGTTAAAAGGCTTTACGGCCAATGCTTTGTGGACATACCACCGGGAAACAGAGATCACCACGCAGTTCGGATTCTACACGCCGCGGATACCAACGGTGAATGAGACAAGGACGGCGGATGAATGGCTCGAAGGAAAGACGAAGCTGGTGCTCTGGGTGGGATCCAATTGCAAAATCACCTCCTGGCCTCGATTAACCTTTGTTAAGAAACTACAGAGCTACGTCCCGGTTGACGTGTACGGACGCTGCGGTAACCTCACCTGCAAACCCCGAACCTCCAAATGCAACAAGGACCTGGTGCGCAATTACAAATTCTATTTGGCTCTGGAGAACTCTGAATGCGATGAGTATGTCTCGGAGAAAACATGGGACAAAACACTGTTGGTAGGCGTGGTCCCTATTGTTTATGGTGCCCCACGGAAAGACTACGAAGAGTTTCTCCCTCCCAATTCCTTCATCTACGTCGGGGATTATAACACTGTCAAAGAATTGGCAGATTATTTGAAACTGTTGGACTCTCGTCCAGACTTATATGCCAAGTATTTCGAATGGCAATATAAAGGTCATGTCAGAAGCACTAGAGTTTTTTATAACACTTTCCCACCAACTCGGTTTTGCCATGTAATACCAATCATTGAGAAAGTGCGCAGAGGTGAGTTGCCACGAAAGCCAGTCTTATCAAGCAATTTTTATCAAACATGTCGAAAAAAGCCAGATTTTGTCTTAGATCAATGGAATCCATGGTGAAAAAAGAGTAGATATCAGAATAAAGAGGAGAATGACAAGGGGTGTCGAATAGACACGAGTAATGTTACATGATGTTAGCACTGGAAATAATTTAACAAACATTTAAGCTAAAGTCAACTTTCACTGTGGCAAGTTTACCGGTTTAATTTAACTGCAGACCTAAATGCCTATATACATGTACAACGAAAGCGCCCAGTGATATCAACGTCTGGGTTCCATGATTGTCATATCGCCTGACTAAACATGAAATCATGGGAGGAAGTCGTTGAATAGTATACGCAAATCTGTGGATCAATCTCAGAAGGAGTGACTTACCGATAGAGGAAATTGAACACTGTCACGTGAGCTCCGAGCGATACTCCAACTTATACTAAAAAAAACAGAGTATGATTAATCTTATTCTGTTCTGTATTTTGCTTAAAATACACCTTTTTTCCTGTGATGTCGCAATCGTTCTGGACGTTGAGTTGTGATGGTAATAAGTGCATATTGGTTTGATGGTAATCTACTTATTCAAGATGAATCAGTCAAGCATGCAGCGTTTGCACGCACACTTGTGTGTGGTTTAACTTATTCATTTAATAGCAGTTTCTAGTTTTATTCAATATGAGTTGACTCTTCGGGAGCATTAAAATGTTGTAACTTTTTATGGGAATAATATTCCAGAACTCTTCCATAGAAGGGACCCTTGGTTCCCCGCATATTTCATGATGTTGTGGATTTATCTCATCCGTCGTAGTTGTAGTAATCTAGAGTGTTTTGGAGGCTTTTGGCGTATCGGAATTAGTTAATAGAGTATAGGTGCATATAATTCCACTGTAGAGCTTTATGCAAACGGTCTCACAACCGCTCCATTACATTATCACCACAAATTGACCAATCTTCACCAATTCATAGCAGTGTCAATTAACGTTTAATTTAATACAAAAAGGGTTTGAGCATTATTTTTTTTCATTTCATGAAAAGTTTAATATGGTATATTTAAGTAGACTTAACGCTGATAAAAAAGAATGTCAGATTTTCTTGATGTTATCTCCGTAAGTTAGGGTGCTTCCTTCAATAATACCACTAACCTTTACGTTGACACTGATCGTCTTCCTCTGGGAGTAAGTAGCCACATGGGCGTGTCGTTACTAAATACTCACCCAACCGATTGCACCCGCTTTTAGTCCTTCGAACGATGTTATACGTTTTACATGTATTCCTCTTATTTGATATCACTTTCTGAGAAAATAAAAACGCCTTTGTGAGGAATGCATAAATGACCTCTTGCCCCTTCCATATACGATCTAGACTAAGTTCCATACTAAATCTCAGACTCAAACACCCATACACAGTCATAAGCTGATGCAGCCCTGTGTCCTGGAACGTAAACAAGAATAATATACAAGTGATCTCATCTCAACAAAAATGTTCCTGGGGGAGACTTTGACTGGTGGAAGCAGAGAAACCGGTCTCTTTTGCAAGGCAGCGCGCATGCTCAAAACTGATTTTAATTGGGGGACCGTTATGTGTGTCGCCACGAAGTGTCTCGAAGTTATTTTTCATCGACCACAATCAACCGGTGTGTCATTAAGCTCAGTTTCTACGTTTCATTGGCAACGACCACCAAAACAACATCGCAAGATAAAAACTATTTCTTTCGTAGCCATGTTTTTTCTAAGGCGATCACGTGCCACTTGGCAAGACTTCTTCAAAGGTTGTCCTCTGTAGAATTAAACACGTCATCAGTTTGAGAGCTTGTGTGTCATATGCAGGGATGTGTCAAATGCATAAAACGTAGCATTACTAAAGCTGTGCTGTGTCAAGTACCCCACTCTTTGTTAAGTCAGAATGCTCCTTTATCGATAGATTAATTTGTCTGTTGCCATTTCTCAATAGAGGGCGCTGTACAGTGGGCACACTATCTAGAAATTTCAGCTTACTTCATGAGTCGCTATGTAATTTGGTTTCAGGACACACGTCACCCCGAAGTCGTAAGTGGGATTCATTTAATGCATTATTTAAATTTGCCTTGTTGGCTCTAATGGTTTTTTATGGATATTTCGGGATAGGTTTGAGTATCTAATGGGGTAGAAAAATACAAGAAAAGCAGAGACAATTTACAAAGTTACGACTGTAAGCACTTCTCATGGTATGGGGTTTATTGCGTATAATCGGGCGTCATGCACATGTACACCTATACACAAGGTTATTGATCATCCATCCCGGTAATCGTTTGTTATTCTGTGATTAGACATGATTGCTTATTATTGATTAGATAAATTGCCGTTGTTGATTCATGTTGTTAATTTGTACCTGTTAAAGGCCAGACTCTGTACATTCAATTTGTGTACTTTTTGTGGACAGATTAAACCGCGTTCAGCGTGTTAAGCATATTCAGTGATCACCAGCTCACAAGTCAAGTTCATTGTGTGGACATCCGGCATCCGTCACACTCTTAAAGGTGCATTCCTGACTGACCGCTATCTACATCTACTCACTACATCTGATGAATGTGAATGGAATTACATTGAAAGGAAGGGATGCTACTTTAAGATACCATCTTCTCAGGCCAATATCCATGTAGCTGAAGCCTTCTACAAAACTGAACCGATTCATTTTCCACGTGGTTTTATTCGGCACAAACAACAATAATTAACCCCGCAACGTCGTGCGAGAGTTAGCGAGGATATTTACGCCTTTCACGTGCAAACGAAGCGTGGCAGCATCAAACTAGTGCCTTCAATGTCAGAATACCTTAGTCCCGAAAACTGAACTTCCAGTGAACGAGTGGAGCTTGAGTCTGCATAGTATTTTCCAAACCAAACTGCACGCACAAATGCTGTTGGGAGACCAACAATAAGGTTTGCGTGGCGAACGAAACGTTGCGGCAGTGAATAAGTCTCTCCATTGTACATTAGGGCGCCCTTATTAAATTCTATGGTTCTCATTTCATTTACCACTTGAGATAAGGTCGGTCGGTCGAAAAACAAATCTTTAAAAAAATTCATGTTGCTGGTGTGTAGATGGCTGAATACTGAATAAACCACGCCAAGTGTAAAATGTACATATATTCTTGTTTGCTTGTTTCATTGAGTATTCTCTGCCACATCTTGGACCCAAGTTGGGCCTATCAAAATCGTACCCCGTAATTTTACTTGGACCATGCAACTAACAAAGGTCACAACAGTGGAGGCCGCCATATTGAATGACATGATCAGCGCGCGTGGTAACACTAGTAGACATGTCTTGTATCCTCAATTTACCGTGTACATGGGCCTTTTTGTTCTCTCTGCATTTTTGATATATATATAAGTATTGAACAAAGATAAATGTATAAAAAATCGGGGAAAAAAACACGTTTTGTGTGTAAACTTGCATGCGAATGGGATATACATGTTCTTATTGTTACCCAAAGCCACAAAATATACCGCGCTGGACTGAGGACGTCTGATGCTGGTCGGTACCATGCTGCTCACATTAAAAATCCCCTTGTACGAGTCCGGGTCAAGACAAGTGTAGGGCTATGCACGAACCTCACGGTGGGCCACGGAAAGGTGCGGTATACCAAATGTTCACGCGAACGCCGACCGTCGCTGTTGGTCGTTTGCAAAATCGTAAGTTTTCAGGTCTTTTGTTTTCAAAGGTCATGCTGGCCAATTTTTTCCCTTCAGTTTTTTTTTGGGGGGGTGTAGGTTTTTTTTAGCAGGGTCTGCGGGAAAAAAAACAAACCTTTTTTTCCGGGATCAGGAGCCCAAAATAGGATCGGACGGCATTGAGAACCATAGAATATAAAAAGAGTGCCCCCATGACAAAAGCATACCGCCTTCGGTGTTTGGTATTGCAGCGGGAATTGAAATAGAATTTTAACATGCCAAAAGTGAATACACGAGGCATGCAAGTAGTCTCGAAGTACATTAGGTTAGAAAGAAGGCCACTGCACCAACTCGGAATGATTTTACTGGCCCTAGAGAACTCTGCACGAGAGTGTATCACAGGGAAACCTGGGAAGAGGCAGGGCATGGTGCCGGTAACCATCGTGTATGAAAGGACGCCGAGGAGTTGCTCCCTTTAAGTTCATTTATCTACTTTAGGAATTTCAAGAGGGCGACAAGAGTGGGTAGGTAAGTTCTGGTTTCTCGACCTGAACTGAATACTGAGCACTTTAAATGACTATGTCTTTTACCAAGGGTTTCTGGGCGTTAATGTCATGCACATTGTCGAGAAAGTGGATAGAGCCGAGGCCAAACGAAAACCTCTTCTAGACCTGTTGCAAAAATTCTATATTGAATTAGCAATGAGGACCCATTTTAGGTTTGTTGATTGTCTGCGAGCAAACGTAGATCCTTGATTCCGATCGGTAGATCAGTGGCAACAGGCCTTGCGTTATAGGCCTATACTTTTTCATAACCTTCAGCCGCAGATTTGCTATGCTGTTTAACCAAAGCAACCAAAGATCCATTTCGGGGAACACAAATTTATCCAATACCTCCATGGAAATAAAAAGGTATACTGAGATCCGCACACTCTTCTTCGTTTGTCACTCGTGGCTTGCTGGACGGATATATTTCCGCATTCAACTATTGAACAGTTGTGCGCCTCAACCCCCACCCCCACTGAAGTATGCGGAGCGCCGGCTCCTGCATGTGGTGTTTAGGTATGTGGACTATTAAGTGACATCTGATCTTCACATGACAGGGAACTTGGAGCTCTGATCGTGCTATCATCAACTTTGCCTCTGTTTTGGAATGATACTCCACTGACTTATTTTCAGATCTGTATTGAACTTTACTTCAGAAAAGTACAAACTATTTTCTTTTACATTAACAACGGAGGAAACCTTTCACGGACGCAGTACTATAAGACTTATATGTAAATAGTTGCAATGGTAATTTGGAAAAATTCTTACTTTTGGCAAATTAGTCTTTAGCAAAGTATAATTCCCTTCACCCTCTGAAGTATGCATTTAATTACAATAACGCTGCTACAATATTAACTTCTTTGTTAAATAATTGAGTTGTCAAGGTGATTGGGCTCAATCAAGATGCAGGTTGATTCTATTCATTTTTTTTTGCCTTGAGAAAGATTATGTTAAGATCAAAACGTCAGGCCCTCCATATTTTGTGATTTGCAACTTATTCTTCGTTATTCTTGTATTGATAACAAGGTTCAATGCGTTTTGTATGAATTTGTTTTTGTTATTAACGTAAAGCAAAATATATGGTTACGTTTACCTGTAGACTAATAAATAAACTTTAAAGTGAACAAAATGTACCCCAACATTGAGATACTGGAGAGAGTAGCTTGACGAGGGTTTTGTTTGCTACTTATGCAAAGTAAGAACCATCGTGTTTTCCTTCCTGTACAGCATCATAGTCGAAGAGACCTCATTTCTAAAGAATAACAAAGAACATTCATTTTTCATTGAGATTAACCAAAGAGGGATGTCGGAGAGTTTTCTCACACCACAGATGAGTAGAAAGTTGCACAAAATACGTGCTAGTTGGAAAGTGTAATTAACATCAAGTGCCATTTACGTCAAAATTGAATACTTCTGAACATGACACCTTCTCCCGCCTTGCCGCTTTTTCAATCGCGCGAACTCGTTTCAAATCCAAGTCATATCCGGCATTGTAATACTTCCTGAAATTCTGGTAGTGCGCTTCGATCCGTTCAGCACAATCTTGGTGACCTTTTTTACTTGAGCACCACGCGTGAAGATGATCTGTGTTAACATCGAACACAAACAGCTGAAAATTGGTCACATTTCGAAACCGCTCGCACGCAGCCGGAAGCGAGTCAGTGTACCGTTTTGCAATGCAGTACCCTTGCACCAATATGTCGGCAGACGCTTTGTGATTAGTGACACGCACCTCCGGGACCCTCTCGCTAGGTATGATCGCCAAACCGAGAGGGGCGTCTTTCCGGATACCATCGAGATGCCAGTCATAACGATCGTGTTCAAAGTAATACGCGTAGTTCAAGATGACGTTGACAGGGCTGAATGGGACTCCCATTTTCCCAACGGGTGCATCTACCAGTTTACGAAAGGCGTCCTCGAAGCTAGACACCTGCAAAAAAATTGTAGTTTCTGGTCAATTGTAAATCAACTAACTAAAGTCGACACGCATCTTAGGTGTAAGATAATTCTGTAAGAGCAATGCAGAGGATATCGAAACATTGACTAATGATAGTTGAAAAAAATATGCTGTTTATACTATTATTTTCTTGAACGCACTCGTTTTTATCTTTGCATTTTTCACCTGTATACACTACTAGTCCCACATGGGCCCTATAACCATCAGTGGCGTTCATTTTCTATTTGACGAGAACTCTCAATCACCGCGAAGAGAGGCATGTAATGTTCGCAGCTTACACTGTTGACATTTAAACATCTTTCCAAACTTTTTTTTCTTCAGATGTTTCTCCGCCAATCGTCTGTAATCCTTAAGCAAACCCCAAGCTACCAAACCTTGACCGGGGTGTTGGGCTTGTCTCATTTTACATGCAGTCGACCCGTCAACAGTTACAAAAAAGAACCAAAACAAACAAAAGCAGTGGCCTTCTGCGTGTATAGTCATTGTCCGAAGGGTTATCTAGTCCTAGCGGGAACAAGAGAGGTCGGAAATTAATTTAGCAAAATCGGTGTTTTGGTGGGAACTCACTGCGTGCGCATAATGAGTGTATAGACTAATCCGATTCGACGCCATAACTGCGGTGGCGCCGCACGCACACGCACACTCTTCAGCTTGATGCGAGCGTGCATTAGCAAATCACGACATCCTATTGGTAAAAGAGGCGTGGAACGTGCGCGTACCACTTGTCCACGAGCGTTGCACCACTGCAGTAATGGATCCAAATTCTGGTTGCCGAATTGCAGTATAATCATTGCGCTCGCACCGAGTGCGCGTGCTCAGGCCCTGTTGAGATATCGCCCACCAGCTTGTCTCTTGTGGCCGGTGGTTCCCCCCCCCGGCCCGCGTTTTGTGCATGCTGTGTGCCTATCCAAACTTTGTTGAAGTGCAGTGTTGTTCCCTCCAAATTGTTGTAAATTTATGTTGTAACTCGTTTAGTGCTTCTGGTACAGAAAAGTATTTATGAAAGGGAACAGACATATGCTTGACAGGGTCTGACTCGAGACATTAAACGAAAAATTAGATCAGCCATCACATAGTTATTTCCTTGCATTTATGCCTAAATCTACGACTTACTTGCATGTGCTTCAAAACATGGTTCCTGCAGTTGGTTATGGTATCTCTCCAGATGTAAACTGGGAAATAAGACATGAAATTTGACACCAGTGTTTTGCCCATGGCAGTTTCAGTCGTTATTTCCCAGGCGTATTTCCTAATTTCTTTCCAGTCGGTGAAAGTAACCACTCGCAATCGCTGGCCGTTGAAAATATTATCAGGCGTGACGGGCGCCGTGAACATCCCATCCGTGTCTGTCCAGGCGACAATGGACGCGTTGATGTACATATCCATAAAGAAGCTACTCCATAGCTGTCGGGCGTACCCTTGGCCCCGAACACTCTTTAAGATGGAGGGATCGTTGGGAAGAGGCTCGTAGAGGAAGTCAAACTGGAAACCCAGCTCGCCTTCCAGCTGACGCAGCCGTCCAGCAAACTGGTGATCGGCTGCGGATTCCTCGTTTAGTATCACGCTGATGGGGCCCAGCTTCCGTGACCAGAACAACGCAGCAGATCGTAAGGTATCACAGAAAAAAAGCTTTACCAGTCTCGGTTTCACTTCCATGCGAAGAGTAAGGGTAAGCGTGTGGCCCCTCGTGAAGGTCAAGTCAGCACCCCTCCTCATGTCGACTGTAGCACCAGAACGATTCCGAGGAGCCGCTGACCTGGCTATTGATGGCGGAGGTCTTAGATAAAGACTACGAGAGCCTGTATAGTCCTTCAAGGCCGTGAAAACTACAACCGAAATGGCGAGGCCTGCAAAAGCAAACGTTACATGACGTAGTAGCTGGGCCATATCCAAATCCCTGCAGTGGGCAGTTGAGGTTTGGTCCACAGTTCCAATAAAACCTCTACATGGAAATTCTGACACAGACCTAAGGTCACTTTCCTCTGCAGAGAAACCAGCAAGATTGATGATTTTTAATCAGAGAGCTGTTTATTCCAATCAGCGCTGTTTTGATTAATGGGATATCAGTATAAACGAAGCATATTCTCATTTGTCGATGTTTTGAATATTGATTGTGAACATCTAAGCCCATTGATTGTGAATATCTAGGCCCTATAGACGTATTTTATCATTGACAATTTGAAATGAAAGAAACAGGACATCTCAAAAAATTGTCACTGAAACTGAACCAGGTGAAGACAGAGATCTCGTACCTTGAGGAATGATACCACGATGATGTCATCAGACTGTTACTAATTTTTGATTATATATTTTAACCCCCGGTTATGCTGGTTTTTCAAGACGCTTATTTTGTAATCTTCCATCTTCATCAAAGTACTTCGATGGAAAACATTAGCAAATGGAAGGTTCTAGAAGAATAACGTCATGGACACGTCATCATGTTTCAAATCACCAGCGGTTAAAGTTCGACAACTCCAATTCTTAAAAAATCCATGCATATAAATCAATCGTGAGTTCAGCTACTTGCTTTTTGCGGCAATTGATAGAAAAAATCAGGTATACATTTTTCTCTCTTGTTCGTAAAAATCGCCCAACCCTTGCTTGTGGCCGACACCAGAAGTGCCTTGTTTGAAATTGGTAAGGGATATGAGCCTGGCTTCAACTTTGTGAATCTCAGGTCACACATTGTTCTTCAAAACATGCATCGGTTATGTCATGAAAACTTAGCCCATCCTTTAGACCTCTGGTGGGAGGTTCAAAAACCCAAACTGCATTTTGAGTTGATGTGTCTGGCAAAGTATGCAAACTCGCTTGAAGACTGGTTGATACTACATTGACCTTTATGCATATAATACGTGTGAGAAGCCTCTGACCGATGACGTCATCGGACCAAAAGTTACAGTATGATGACTTTCCCGCATAAATTTAATCACATTTTTAATAGTGAGTACATAACTTTTTACTCTTGAACACGGTTATCTAGGGGTGACTTTTGTCGCTTTGGAATATTTCGCCTTCGTCGAGGTTACACAAGGAAACAACCTTTATTCGTAGATCACTGTAGTACGGTTAAGTTGTGATTATGTAGAAGACTCATTAAAGAAGCAAGGTCTCCGTGAAGAGGTTTTGGTGCTGCCAATGATTGTACTGGATTATTGCCAAGTGTGAAAAAAGTCTCGACAACAAATAATACACACGAAATAATTGATACAAAACAATTACGATGATTGAGATGTGGGCTTTTTTTGGTCTTTTCCCTACAATGGCATTTACAGAGGTCACGAAACACATAACAAGATGCATTGTGTAAAATTTAGAATGACGTAATAATGACACGTCACATAATTCGTTGTGATTTTTTTGTAGATTTTTGTAATTTTTACATTCTTTGCGACGTATTTCCTGGAAAAACATTTTTTTTTCAAATTTCTTTTTGCAAGACCTTGGTCAGACCAAATAGATATGTGACTTGGCTGGAATATTTTGTGACTCATGAAATTGAAATTACAATATCTGTGTCTCATACTGATCAACCCTATTATATGGTAATGACGTCGTGTCGAGTGATTCTTTGTTACAAAAGTTCTTTATTGACATTTCGTGTTTGTTACTTATTCTGACACTACTTTGAGCTAAATACTAACATTGGGATTCATGAAGGATGTATTCTATAGTGACATCAATGACAGTATCATGGGAAGTTCATAGATTTCAGGAGTTGCGTGTAAATGTCATCGACATGAGTCTCAACTTGTTTTATATCATATGCATGAAATGCTAGCGCATTTCAACACAATCATAGAAATGCAGAATGCCTATTATATTCTGTTGCAAATCGGCATAGACCACCACCTTCTCCTTGTTCTTTCTCACAAGAATGAATTATTCATTACTCGCCTGGACTTAAGCTCCTTTCCAAGTTGGAATTTTCTTCAACCGAAGACCTAAGTGTATAGATGGTCCTCAAGGTCAAAATGACGCCATTAGAGTTACATGCTATGCAGCCCTGTATCCTCAGAAACAAAAGTCCAACCCGGTTTAATCTTGTGCATATACATGCTAGTTAAGTTATAGATGAAAAGTGGGGTGACGTCATTATGACGTCATCCCTGATTATCTATTATTTTTTATTGTTCTGGTATAAACATTCTAGTCGACGTATCTGCTGAACCAAACAAGGTATTTTAAGTGTCTTTTTGCATGGTCAATTGGTTGGTTGGTAGGTTGGTTGGTTGGTTGGTTAGTTGGTTGGAAAATGTTGCAATCTTACGATGACGTCATCAAAATGAAGATTTTTTTTTATTCTTGTTCTACACAATGTCAGATCAGTGACATGGAATTCACTTTAATAGGTAGAATGCTAACCCGTGCTAAATCTCCTTTTCTATCACTTCATCGGCCATATCCACCAAAACAATATCACATTTTAACAGTGTTACAATAGCGGCAGTGTTTATGTCGTCTGTTACGTGGTGAGACTCTCAGTGTTCAATCCTCAAAGGTCCTACCTTGTAGAATTGCACACCTCTACTATTTTAAAGCTTGTGCATCATAGGCAGGGATGCATTTGTAGAAATCACAGCAAATACGTTGTTGGTGCGTTGGTGTTTCGAAACCCCACCCTTAATGGAGCACTCCTGAAAGATTGTTATCTACAGCACTGGACATCCGATGATTTGAGTGTGACTTCGTTCATAATAGGGACGCACTTTAGAGATATGTTCACGTTTCTCCTGACACAGCGTTTAGGTGTACTCTTCTCAGGCCAATATGGCTAAAAAGATTTTTTTTCCATCAGATATCAGGCAAATAACAATACGCTCCTGCATCAAAACTACGCTTACTGAAAAATTGCGTGCGAGGGCTAGGGGTTTTTTTACTCACATTGAAGCGTGACAACAGCTTTGCATCAGTGACCTCAGTGGCCATGTACCTTGTCCCGAAACTTGCACACCCGCTGCTCGAGTGGAGTTTGAATCATATTTTCCAAGCCAAACTTCGTGCACAAACTATAGGGAGGCCGACAATAAGGTTGTATGTCAACAGAATTCAGTGGGTTACGTTGAATCATTCA